TAGTCTTTTTTAAAAAGTTTAAGAAATTCAGGTATAAAAATGAAATATAGATACACTTAAATGTTTGTGCATTGTATTCTCTATATAAATTTTCCTTAAAAATGACCAGGAGGCCTTAACCGATACTCATGATCTCCCTTCTCATTGCCCTAATCCTCAGCCCTTCTGCTCGTCTAGGTGGCTGCTTGGTCACCTGAATGGATGGCACTATGTCAGGAATTCAGTGTTCGTCCTTGTCGTTGACAAGTCATACATTCGGCGCTAGTTACTAGGTTAGCTTCGGTGTCCCCAGTCTTTAAATCTTAACTTCTTCTAGGTCCCCAACTAAACTATTAAGCCATTTGCCTCAGCCTGTGAGGCTAAATATTTGGCCATTTCCTCTTTTCTCAAAGTGCACGACCAAGTGTGCAGCCTGAAGTCTTGCTTGTTAGGAGGGTTTCCTCACACTCCTGTCTTTCAGAGTCACTCCAGGTGGGGCGATAGTGAAATTCACCACCCAATTTCAGCTTATGCCAACACATGGAGCTGACCCATTTATGAACCAAGCTCAGGCTTTTTTCCTTCTTCATCAGCTGGTTGTGGGGAATATCTCACGTGGCCTTAGGTTTGAACTGAGGGGAAAGTGTCAGTGTAACACTAAGAGATGACATAGATGATATGGGGGTGGGGGGCGGTCTGGGTCACCTATTCATGCAGCTTACTTATATCCTCTGGCCCTTCTTGAGCCCAAACTAGATGTACCACTTCTACCTGCTGAGGGATTGCTGTTGGTCTGGCCTGACCTTATGACTTGGTAGATAACAGTGCCTAGTGCTTGATGGGAAGTTCTGGCCTCATAGTTACTTGATGGGCTATGGCCAGGCACCTCTTCTCTACCAGAGCCCAGTAACATGTCAGGAGCTGTTTTTCTAACAGCATACACTTCTCCGCTAAAGATGGCATGACCTTGCTCCAGAACGCTAGCGGTCTTCTCTGAGACTCCCTTACTGGGGTTTGTCAGAAACTGCACGTGGCATCTTTAACTATCACAGATAACTTCTGGTGCCATGAAGTCCACATGATCACATGGCTCAAGCAACTGTGCTGCTTGAACTGCAGCCTGGAGCTGCTGCACAATCTTTTATTGCTCTGGTCCTCACTCGAAACTAGCACAGAAAGGATGCTCAATAAATATCCCTTTGTGAGGGGATGGAGTACAGAGTAGCAGTAATAAATACAAATGCCTGTAGGGGAAGTTTGCCAGAAAAAAAAACACAGGAAGCCAATTTAAATTTGAATTTTAAATAAAAGATGAATAATCATTTAATTTAAGGATGTGCAATGCAATATTTGAAACATACTTACACTAAAAATTGTTTGTCGTTTATATGAAATTCAAACTTAACCAGGTGTCTTGCATTTTTATTGGTAAAACTGGCAACCCTACTTTAGGGGCCAAGCATTTAATAGCATAAGACAACTTAGTGTGATGGGGTTTGGGGAAAATGGTAAATACATTTGTAATCAGCACATAATTGGATGATAATCAGCATTTAAAATGATTTAAAGTAAAAACGAAAATCTTCCAGGTTTGGCTGGAGGCTCATGAATGTGCAACCCCTGGCAAAGAGTTTGACTTTCAGGATTCGAATCCTGGATCCACTGCTCATAACTTGTATAACCTTGAGCCTTAGTGTCCTCATCTCTCTGAGGATTAAATCAAATCCTGCATTTAAAGAGTTTAGCAAGGTGCTGGGCCCACCATCAGTGCTAAATAAATGTTAATCTGCAAGATGATTGTTGAGTTGCTATGCAACAGCTCCCTCTAGTGGTCACAAGTCATATGTACGCGCACTGGTGCAGGCTAGGATCCTGGAGGTCTTCTTGGCTCAGAGTATCCATCCAGTAGTAGCAAGGCTGATCAGGAATTGGAGGACAGGTCCTCAAGCTGCTTAGATTCCAGTCATTCACATATCACTTCCATGATTTTTGCCACATCTCAGCCACCATTACCTTTATTTACTAATGATTCTCCTTTAAACTGTACCTCATCTTTAAATAAATTTATTATAATGGGAAACGTCACAATTTTCAGCTAAAAGCCCCAGTATCAACTTTCAGAAATAGAAGATAACCACAAGTAGATACAAATGAAACAGAAAAGCGTTAGGTTTTCCTGGATAATGTGGTGAGAAGAAGAATTGAACGATCCCTCTCTCTCTTTCTCTCTAGCTGTCTTTCCGATGATGAAATGAGACTCAAATAATTTGCTTGAAATGCTATCCTGGAAAATAGTTGGCATGAATGATAATAACAGCTATGTTTCTTGAGCCCTGACTATGTGCCAAACACTGTAATAGGCACATTATTACCTGCATTAACTGAGTTAATCCCCACAAAGCCCCTCTGAGGTGAAGGACTGCAGCTCAGAATGTCTGGCCAATGGAATGTAAAGGAAATGATGCATGTCACTTTCCACCTGGCTCTTAATGACATCCTGCCTATCTGTCAATAGTCATTGCCCTGTCTTAATGACCATGGAGGTCATGAGTTCCAGATGGTATGTTTCCAAAATAGAACATGGAATGAATGTATGAGTGAAAAATCAATATTTATTGTGTTAGGCCGCTGAGGTTTCAGAGCTCCTTTGTTACTGCAGCACAGCTTTGTTCTGTTCTAATACCATAGAAATTTAGATTCCAATATTTTTTTAAAATGAGCAATTTCTGAGATGTTACTATTGATGATAATTAGTAGAAGAAGAAAATAGGGAGTTGGGAATAGGAAAGAGAACAAAAGCAGGTGGCAGAGAAACTGCTGAGGTTTTATGACGAAGACTTGGGAGAAATGGAGTCTGAGAGACAGCAGACTCAGGCCGTTGTGAGTAAGGTAGGGGGAAGGTGAGAGAGATAAAGCAAGTGAAGTTGCTGAAGTTTGAAATTAATGATCAAACAGAGATGTGAAGCATGTTGTAAGGGCAAGAACTCAAACACATTTCCTCCCTCGCATGGGCTGACATTTAAGGCAGGGATGGTTCTGAATGTCTGGTCATTGTGAATGACCTGTCTTCCTCCATTCCTCCTGAGGACTCTTCTGCTAGCTGTGTAAAAACCTAGGCTCTATAGGGCCAGTGCCTGCCCCCTAGTGGTCCAGAGCCTTCATGGTTATGGGGAGACCTGCAGTCTTTGCTCCCCCTGATGGATCAACCACAGTTCTCTGAAAATCTTTGACACTTGACACGTGTGTTAGATGGAGTCTTTAGTGGTCTCAGAATATCAGGGGAAACACCACTGAACATGACAGGTTCACAGAGCCCAGGCTGATTTATTTATTGAATAATAAACCCCAAGATTGCTGCAAGTATTTGATTAATTTCAAGAGTTCTGAAAAGGTTGGTTCTGACAAATATATTTTTGCTATTTTTCTCATTGCTTTTGTGTAGGAGAGAATTTTCAAAGGCCTTTAATCTGCTGTTGTCACTAACGTCCCTCTAAAGAGTTTTTAAAATGTGAAAAATTTGTCACTATTTAAAAGTAGTAAATGTGTTCTGATTAAGCTGGACACCTCTCAGGCTTTTATATCTAGGGGAGTCTTAGACTAGTTAGTTAGGAATTGAAATTGTTAGAGAAGGGGAAAGTCCTATCTGTGGGCTATAGGAAGAAGTCCAGGGGAGCTGGGGGAAAATAGTATCCAGAGATGGGCAGTGGATGTATGTCTAGCCAGGAATACTCTTTGGTGCCATGGTCAGGGGGCAGCAGGACTGATAATGATGGTCCCAGGTGTGTGTGCGCCTGTCCTTATCCACCTTAATTCCTAGGGCTTCATCCAAGGGGCACTCTTTGAGTCTTGACCTCATATCTGCCCAAAAGAACATGAAGGTAACTGATGCTTGGATCCTCCCCAAGCCCAAACAGGTCTTGATTGCTGGTTCCCAGTCTGGAAGGTCCTTCTGTACTTCAGATCACTGAATAGGCAGACATTCACAATGATCATGCAACTGTTTATGGAATTCAACTACTCCTCCCGAGCTCAAAGATCTCTTACTTCTGTGAGTGTGGAAGATGCTTCTTTCTTTAAATCCTCACCAGAAGACACATGCTGGTTTCCTACAATAAACTTTCTTGCAGTTCTGAACTCTGGGACTGTCCTGCCATAATGCCATGTTGGTTGGTGGCAACAGGGATGGGTCTGGACGTGACAGATGTTTAGCAGGGGTTGAGAAACACCACCATGAATCAGCTCATTTTCATAGCTCACTTTCAGTTCATGATTTGCCTTTTTGTCACTCTGTGACCTGTGCAAGTCATTCACAAAAACTCCAAGGCCTCAGAACTCTCATGTGTGGAGTGACAGGGTGGGACTAGTCCTCTAGATCGCAAACAATGATAGCATATTTATTTTTTATTCGAGGGGACAACCTTTCCCAGCCTGGGTGGCCCTGTTCTTTCTTATCGCATTCGATTTTTCATAAATCTTATCTGAGTTCACAATCTCAACTTCCTTATATCCTCTTCTCTTCTTGGTTCCTTAAAATCAGTCTTCTTCCTTCACAAATTATGACTCTTACCCAGGGCATCAATAATCTTCTCATATGCTACTCTAGGGACCCTTCTCTATGCCTGTCTTTTTCAAGCCTCCCAGCAATGAACACTTCGGGTTAGTTTGTCCTTTCTCCTACACATTTGCTTTATCATCATTATTATCCTCTTGCTGTGAGCACAGAAAAGAGACCAATATGACTAGATACAAATAAGCAAATCTACTCTCAACTTCCTGTCTACCCATCCTAAGGACACTCTGAATCCACACTCATCTGAATATCTGGTTTTGCTAAAGACCATTAAGATCTCTGTAAGGTCTAAACGCTGTTCTATGGCTCCAACCATCCAAGCCAGAGCTCTTTCTAACCTATGAGCCCTGAAGTAGTGGTGAAGAATGACAAGGCCCCCATGCAGAGAAAGAGCAATTTTATTTGGTAAATGTAACATATGCCTAGTGGGAAAGGAGGGGGAGTGGTTTCCTCAGAGAGAAGGCTGCTCTGGTTCCCAAACAGTGACCATGATATTGTCCAGAATGTGGGCAGCTTTCTGTGAGTCCTCAGGAGCTGGGCAGAGAGTGGACTGAGTGGCAAGAAATGCTTCTGTTGGGAGAAGACCACAATCAGAATGGAGACTTGAGGTCACTGACTCTTGTTGGTATTGGACCACCATCAAAACCACCTTTCAGAGGGAGGGGAGGAGGCTGAAACCCTGGGGCTAGGGGTCTCGTCTCAGCCACTAGGGAAGCCCAGGCCTGGGGTCAGGGGGTTCATTTTGTGTACATTCGAGTGTGTGTCTGTGTATCCATAGGCAATTGTGTGAGTTTGCAAACGTGTGAGCATGTGTGAATGTCAATACATACAGAGTGTGTGCCTCTGTATGTATTGGACATTTGTGTGAGCATGTGTGAATGTGCTGGTGTGAGAGTGTGCGCCTCTGTATGTATTGGACATTTGTGTGAGTATGTGTGTGTTCATGACCATGTGTTTCTATTTGGGACTATGTTGTGGTGCCACCTGTGTATCCCCACATCTGTCAGCATTTCTGTGGACATCTCTGTGCACATCTGTTGTTTGTCTATGTCTTTGGATATCACTGTCCCAAGCCCCCTGCTGTCCCCAGGAGAGGAGCAGCAGCCCCTAAGTGCTGGGGAGTGGGGGGCAACACTTACCAGCTCAGCAGAGGACGGGTCCTTTCCCGGAAGGCTTAGATCTTGATTGTAAAATGCAGTCCCTGGATAAGTTGGTCTGGAAAGTGAAAAAAATAACCACTACAGACTTGAGTGATGGTTTCAGTGTGAAAGAGTCTGGGGATATTCCACATTCCCCTCAGGGCCAGGAGATCTGACCAAGCTCAGGCAGGGAGGGCTTGGTGGGAGTAGTGCCTCCTTCTAAAACCAGCCCAGCTGTTCTTTGTGTCAGGGGGATTCGGGGTGGGGGTGGGGGGAGAGACAGGATCTATACCTCAACATTATCTGGATAATTTAAAGCAAAAAGAAACTCAAAATGGGGAGAGGTGAGGCTGGAGGGTCAGCATGCAGAGACAAAGGTCCTTGGGGGCAACCACTGCTCCTGCAGGGTGGGAGAGAGGTTTTGGAAGCAGGTACTTACCGATAATTCCCTGCACCAGGGTGACATCCAACTGGCTGAGAAGTGCATTGACTAGAGGGCACACCTGATGCAGGGGCAGAGAGGGGAGTTAGGCAAAGCGGGATCTGTAGGAAGACCCTGGGAGCAGCCTCATTCCAGGATGGATTCACTTTTCTGTGTCTGAGAGTGTTTGATTCTAAGAAATTCTACAGGCGAATGCTCACACATCCACAATGAGCAGAAAGAGAAGCTAAAGGCATGTGTGTGTAGTGCCCAATCACACAGCAAGCCAGTATTCATTCTGTGACATGGCACCTGTTTCTAAATAGAGTGGACTGCTTTGGGAGGGGTGAATTTCTGGTAAAGGAGGCACCCAAGCATAGGCTGGAAGAATGCTTGTCTGTAGCCATAGTGGGGGTGAACCGGAAACTTCTCTGAGCAGGGCCATTTCAGCTGGCTTACCTGTTTCTGCACCAGCTCAGGAAGGACTTTATTTATGATTTCGGTGAGGTCGTCAACAAGTATTCGAATAAGAAAGCCATATCTGAAAGAAAAAAGCCATAGGGAAGTACAGAGGTCTGGAGTTGGTATGGAGAAGACTTTAGAGGGGCCACTGGGCCCATCACAGTCTCAGCACTAAGTAGCTGAAGCTGGGCCTTGTCTATCCACACTCACAAGCAGGCAGATACCAAGGGGCCTATCCAAAGGGAGTGACACCCTACATAGCAGTGCTTACAGTAGGTACATATAGAATAGACATACGGTTTATTCAATGAGACTTTGTAGACTCCATAAATGGATGAACATTTAGTGTGTAGTTGCCATGAGGATTCAATGAGATGATACATATGGAGCACAATTTATGTGTTCAGTAAATGTTAGCCATGATGGGGACAACTTCTGTATATTATGCCTGACTTCATCTCCCTTGGGACAGTTAACTGAAATAAGTAACCTAGGTAGGCTGCATAGCTATTTTATCCCCTACTGGGACAAAGCCCAACCACACCTATTATCTAGGTGGATTCAATCAATAACCCCAATGAAATTCTATACTATAGTTATCTGAGTAAGCTGAGACTCAAGTTGGGAAAGTACTGGTCCAAATTCACACAGGGAGCTCTCGACCTCTCCCTATGCCACTCTGGTAGATGGGACTTGAACTCAGATTTTTTGTTGCATAATCCAGCATAAAATTGGCCAGCCCAGCTTAAGAAGGGATAATTGACTATTTACCCATCCAGTTACCTATCCTTCTATCTATCCATCCATCTATCCATCCATCCATCCATCCATCCATCCATCCTAATTGACTATTTACCCATCCAGTTACCTATCCTTCTATCTATCCATCCATCTATCCATCCATCCATCCATCCATCCATCCATCCATCCATCCATCCATCCATCCATCCACTCACCCATCCACGCACCAATCCATCTTCCCTCCCTCCTATCCATCTTCCCACCCTTCCACCTTCCCACCCTTCCATCTTCCCACCCTTCAATCTTCCAGCTCATCCATTCTCTGATTGTTTCATCTTCCCAACCTTCCATCCGTCAGCCCATCCTATTCTCTCAGGTCAGGAGAAGCCACCCCTCTGGACTCACCCATTGAGTACAGAGATTTTCACGTTGCCAGGGGAGTGAGTACAGTCACCAACGGCCAGGTGGACCTTCTGCTCTTCATCTTTCACAGTTAAGACTTCTGCCGTGGTGTTTAGCTTCACAGACACCTTTAACAGACTTCCAAGCAGGGGCCTGAAGAGGAGATAGTTTATTGCATCTGGTCCCACCACATTCCAAGGCAGAGGAGGCTTTTCTCCTTGCCAGAAATGCCAGCCTCACCTCATTCCATCTTGCCTACAGCTGTACTCATCTTATTTCTCAGTAGGGGAGACCAAAGCTCAAAGAGGTTAAGTGAATTTCTCGAATGACCCCAGGTCACTCAGCATAGCAGCAAATGAACTGAACTTAGAGGATCATGACTGTTAGACTTCAATGCGCCCTTTTAGGCTACCTTTAGTCATCGGGGTCTGCTCTCGTGAGCCATCCTCTCATTCCCCCTTGGGTCCTACTCACGCTTTCAGATTGAGGACAAAGCCCAGAGGGATGTTGACATAGAGACGATGGCCGTCCGGGCTCTGTCCAAGACCAAGTTCCAGCAGCTCGGGATTAGTGATCTTCAGACTGCCCGAGAAGCAACATTGAAGGGAGAAACATTAGCTCTTCCAGACCCAAACCTAGAAACCACCTTTAAACCAACTGTACCCATCCCAGAGGTGGTGCTATTCATGAGGTGGGATGGGCGAGATAGGAAGGGAGTCTTAGAGCAAAAACCACATGAGTTCTGAGTTACACATCAGTCTTTCCCAGCCTCTGCACCTGGCCACATTCTGACACACCCACGGCCCTCTCCTCAACTCAATTCTATGAGGTATTCTGGGATAGAGATTGTGTCTGGATTATTATTTGGATTATGTTTGCATTCTATGTCTGTGTTTGCATTCTGCATGCCAGCTCAGAGCCTTACAAAGAAAGGAGCTACTCTATATTGGTTGACTTTGTGGATTAATGAGCAGGTGAGATGAATATGTGAGCGGATACTTGGAAGAGTAAGTGCTTAGATGGAAGGAAGACTGGACAAGTGAATGGATGGATTGGTTAAGTGGAGGAGTAGATGATATATGGACAAGTGGAGTAAGTTTTTTACAAACATTTATGGGTAGGAATCACTCATCCTGCCATGACTTTCAATGGCAGGTCAATCAACAATGTTTATCATGGAGACTGAGGAGCAGCAAGTCAGGGAGAATGGAGAGAGGATGGAAGTAAGCCTCTTCTCTGAGTCAGCATCACTGACTCTGCATCACTCTAGTTTTGTGACCACAGGTACCTTTCTGTGCTTCAGTTTTTCTTTCTGCAAATGGGGTTATTAAGTTGACCTCATGGGGTTGTTGTGAGGATTTTAGATAATGCTGGGGACTCAGGACATGATTCAGGACTGGGGGCTATTATTGATTTAGGAGGACTGGTGTTACCTGCCAGACTGTGAGAAGGGTCTCAGACTGAGTCCTGGCCTCATTTTCAGACTACCCCTCTCCTTCTTTCATAGTCAATGCCTGGAGAAGTCAGATCTCCAATGGGGGTTCTCTGGTGGGGACCAAGGCCCTACTTTACGGCTACTCACTCAACAATGTTGTTTAGGAAAGGAATCGCCGAAGTCAGTTTCTCAAGCAGGCCAAGCAGGCCACCGGAAGAGCCTTTTCCACTGAGACTGTCCAACAGACCCCCAGAGAGCAGGCCTTTGCCGAGAGCTGGAAATGGGTAATGGATTCCTCAGAGGTTGTATCTGACAATTCCCGATCTTCTAACCCTTTCCCCTGCTCATTGCTGTCCCCCTTCCCCACTGGATGGTTGGACACACACAGCTGAAGGAGGTTGTCACAGACTCTCACTTACCATTTGTAAAGTTTCCAACAAGATCTGTGGGACTTGAGGCCAAGGCTTCAGGAATCAAAGATGAGGGCAGGTCCTGGGATGAGGACTGGGCTTCCAGCTGGGCCAGCAATCCACAGAAGACAATGAGGCCCCCAATTTGAAACATCTTTTCTCTTGGTGTCTGTGGACAGGTGACAGGCCATAAGTAACATGGATATCGGAGAGGTATTCATCTACCACCTGCCCTCGGCCTCCAGAACACCAGAAAGTAAATAGCAATAGCTAACACTACTCAACATTTCCTCTGTGCCAAGCATCAGGCTGAGCACTCCACACTCGGTAACAGATTTCATCTTAACCACACGCTAAGATGTGGGCACTCATTAGCTGCATTGCTCAGGTGAAGAAACGGGTGTTTAGTGATTTTAGGTAACTTCCTCTAAGGTCACAAGAACACATGGGGATAAGATTTAAAAGCCAGATCTGTCTGACCCAGATTTATTCTAATTGGGGTTGCTCACGAAGGCTTGAATTATTGTTCCTAGTTCCTGCTCTTCAGACTAAGCAGATAAAAAGGCTCAAACACGCTAGTGGCTAAAGAATAGAACTACTTTGCCACCGGAATCCCTGTTCAGTCTTTTGGTCCAGGGGCCAGTCTGTGATGGTTTGTGGAAGCCCTTGCAAGTCACGGACTATCAGAGGCCATAGGCACCATCTCATCCAGACCATTGTTGGAAAAATCCTAGGCCATTCAAAGTCTACATTGTACAAGGAGAATCGGGACTAGAGAAAGGTAGCGACTTTCTCAAGGTCACACAACAAATTGATGGCAAAGCTGTGGTTGGAGATAGGCCTCTGAATCTGCCCCTCACTGCCCCCGCCCCACACTATCTTTTCTACATCATTCTCTTCTCCCTCAAGCTGACCTGGATGAAATTCTGGAAGAACTTCTGGAAGAACCTCTGATATCTGACTGCCTTTTGCACCAGTCCCCTCCCAGATACCACCAACCACAGGCCTATTTGGCAGCTGGCAAAGATGTACAAAGCTAGAGCTGGTACTTACCCTTTGGAGACACCTTGCTATTTGGGACAAAATTCTATCCGCTGGCCGATTTGGCCAAAGCACCATCATGGTTATGACTGATTGGAATCAAAAGGGCTCTTTGATCCAAAGAGCCAGTTATGGCTTCCCTGGGGATCAGGCCCTCTGAATCTCTTTTGGAAAACAGACCTTTTATGAATCCAATGGCAGCTAAGAACGCTACTCCTAGAACAAGGCATCAAAATGTACAAAATTGGTTTGTGGCTGATGATCTGAATGCACAGTGCAAACTCCAGTTAAAGCTTGTGCCATAGAGATTTTGATTTAGGGTTTGAAGAGCATGCCCACACGAGAACTCCAATGTGGAATTTCAGGAGCGTTACACCTGTGGCCACATATGTCCCACCACTATCAAATTCTCTTTCTACACTGAAACGTTTCCATATCGATGTTGCCGGTCTCTTAGGGTAACAGAGTGAATGGCCATCCCCACTCCCCTGAAAATGGTCAGCCCTGTTTCTCTTGAAAGGCCCCCAATGAGTGACCCTAAGTGTAGTCACTCGAGCCCACCCCACAACGAGGAGCCTAGCGCCCCTGAAACCCAGGGCGCCAGAGCGAGAGTGGAACGGGCAGGTCTCACCTGGGCTTCTCAGAAGTCCTGGAGGCTGTTCTGGTCTCCTCTTCCCTCTCCTGCTTGCTTCTGCTGAGGAGGCAGCCTCTTTTATAGTGTGGGAATAAGGAAACGTGTGATCGGATGATGGGTTGTAGGGAATTCAGAATTCGGCAATCTGGTGGTGTCTTTCAGGGCTCTCCAAAGTAAATAATTGCCAATCACATTAGTAGGTGGGACAGTTAAGCCATGTGATTGACAAGTTAAACAGAGAAGAACTTGAGATGGAGATGTTACTCAAGACTTCATGGTTTTATGAGTGGGCTCAGGCCACCTATGCTCCGAGGTGACCCGGAAGATCAAATTTGGAACACTGGGAGATGCAGCCAGTTGGAGTCCAGGAAAGGATCCTTTTTCCATTTCTGGTCCAAATGTTGTTCCCAAAGTGTCAAAAAGAACAAACTACCTCTGATTTCCCTATATCTGGAGTCTCCTGTTTTTCTGAGCCCCTGTTACACAACAGTCATGTGCTGGGGGCTATACATTCTCACCAGAACCCTGGGAGGGAGAGATTACTTCTCTTCCTTTTCAGAGGAGGAAACTGAGGCCCAGCGGGACAAGGGCCCATAGACACAGAGAGGATGTGGCAGAGTTAGAGTTAAGTTCATTAGATAATACCAATAAAAACGGTGCCAACAGCTAATACTTGCTGAACCCTTGCTGTATGCCAGGCCAGGCATTTTTTTTTTTTTAATGTGCAGCATCTCAGGAATCCTCACAGCCCTGCGTGAGGTGGGAATGAGTACCCTCATTTTACAAGGGGGAAATTAAGGCTTGGAATGTGAGTCGACACATCTAGAGTTGCATGGTAGACAGGCCTGAGGCAGGTACACTCCAGTCCTTTCTCTGAATCATTTTGTTGCTTTTCCACATCTGTAAATTTTATGCTTTCATGAAATTTCATTTTTATATCCTGGAGAAGTCTTTCCAGGTTCCCAGGTCTAAGTGATGCTATGGCATCCTGGTCTCTACCTTAATTCTTTCTTCTTCCCTTCCCCAAACGAAATATATAAGAATATTTTTTCTCACCACTTGGACCTTTACAGATAAAAAAAAAACTGAGGCATGGAGAGATCAAGGTCTTAGACTGGCGCGAGCAGCTCTTGCCTTGCAGAACCTGACACCTTATAAGCAACAGAGAGAGAAAGCAGAAATGCACATTTATTGAGCACCTATTACATGCCAGGTGCTCTCCATATTTGAACCTTGTCTTCTCCTGGAGTGGTTAATATTGTTGTCCCTCAAACATCAGATAAGGACACCAAGGTTCAGAGAGGGTGACTACTTCCCAGGGACACACAGCTGATGAGGAGTGGAGTCAGAACTCGCCCCTGTGTCTTGTTAGTCCTATAATCAGTAAGCCACACTGCCTTCCCTCATGCCAGGCCTTCCCTGAAACCATTTGCATATCCTGAGAGAGTCCGGCTGATGCCTCCAAGGATCCAAGGCCATGGCTTTGAACTCTATTCATTCAAGCACTTTCTAGACTCTTCCCAGAGCTTGTATGTGGTCAGTCATCCTCAAAAGGGTCCCATTTTTTGTTACCTTGGTACAACTCTTATGGATTGGTTCAGGTTGCTACTATTTTGCAGAAAAACAGGCAGATAAGCCAGGGGACTGATTCAAGTTCGTGCAGCCAGTTACTGGATGACTAGCAGCCTCTGGTTTGAAGCTGGGAGGCTGCATATGTATTATCACAGAAAGAGGATAGATTTGGGCACAGATCGCCCTGGTTCAAATCCTGTGACCCTGGGCAAGTTGCTCCAACTCCCTGAACTTGTTTTTCTCAGCTGTAAAATGGGTAGATAACATCTATCTTGCAGGGCTATGGAGGATCATGTTTGAGGAGCTGGTATGAATCTTAGTTCATAAACTCATGTGTTTATTATACATTTTTCTTTCCAATATATTTATAGTTTAGTTACCATTTCAAATGCCATGTGCTGCGTAACAGAAACTTTCCATTTTCCCCTGAAGTTTTATTTCATTCGTGCTATGGTATCTGGAGAAGGCTGCCCTGTCTCTGTTTTGGCTGGAAATACGGAGACATCCATATGCCGTCTGGTCCCGATGGCTGAGCCACTGTGTCTCCCTTCTGCACAATAGGCTCCTTCGGACATAACGCTTACTTCTTACTTCCTTGTTAGACACCCCAAATTTTTCTGCTGTTTCTTGATTCCCTGGGCCTCAGGCAGGACCATGAAGGGCCACCCCAGCCCATCCACCTGGACCCACCTAGACTCTCTAGTTAACCTTCTTTCCCTGGGGTCTCGTCATCTCTCTTGGCTCTGGAAGGGAACATGGACATAGATGCCCTCTGTTCTTGAATCCTGCACATCAATTTGGGGGTGTCTGTTCTTCTTCCCACACCAAGTTTTGCCTGGGGAGCAGCAAGGTCATGAGACACTTCTGAGAAACCACCAGAACTATGTTGGATCTCACACTCCACCACCCCAACATGAGGAATTTTCTAGTCTTGGGGCAGGAAACCTTGCTTCAGTTCATTACATATGTGCTATTCTTGATGTCTCCTATGTCCCAAGTTTTGAAATAAAAAAACCTAGGCTTTAAAAAATTAAAAAAATTAACTCACCATAAAACTGGCATTTTATCTTTAGATGTGTAGTTCTATAAATTTTAATGCACATATAATTTTATGTCACCGCAGTAATAATCAGGATATAGAATAGTTCCATCACCTCCCTAACACTATCATGCGGCCCTTTTAGAGTCACACCCTCTTCCGCCCACCAGCAAGCACTGATCTATTCTTTGTCACTAGTATCTTGTTAAAGACTCTGGTGTTGGAAACTCAGAAGCCTTCCCTCTGCTTCTGCTGAAGTTGCCCTACCTTGAAGCCACAGGTTCTTTATGTTCCACTGCCCCAAACAGGGCAAGTGTCGTGGGGCATCAGGAAACATGGAAGGACAATGCTAACATTTCAAGACAGGGTTTCCTATACTGGTGACATCAATGCCTTCCCAACGCGTTCCTCAGAAACTGTCGGTGGTGCACCTTTCTTCCTGCATAATCTGATTGTGATTATGGTTGGAAGCCTTTATTAGTGTTCTGTGAATCAAGAGATCATTTTTAAAGGGTGAGTTGATTTTTTTCAAGGGGCTCTGACCTATGCAAGGTCTGTTCTCCAGAACCTGGGAGTGGGGCATTGGCTCTGTTCCCTGAGAGCAAGATCAGGAGCGGGACTGAGTTTGAGGGGAGTCTTCAGATGGCCTTGGAAACCTCAGTGGTTTTGTTGAGGGACAGAGAGCAAAAAGGTACACAGAGAGCTAGGTGCCCCAACTTAGATGAGAAAATATTTTTAAGCAGAGTTTGCTTAAGGCCAGTTCCACTTACCTTGGAGATTAATCTTCTCACATACATTTATAGCTAATAATATTAAAAGATTTTAGTGAGACACTAGCGCTTTATATCATTTCTAACAACCCTGTGGCGACCCCGAGGCTCAGGGAAGACAGTCACTTGGTCAAGGTTATCTCAGCGAGGAAGAAGTGAAGGCCAGACCATCATCTGGGGTTGTCTGGCTTCAGTGCTCTTAACTTCAAGAGCAAGTTTGCGTCATGGAGTCTTTAGTCTAGAAAGGGCCTGCTCACGTACTCTACAGCCTTCCCATTCCTGAGAAATCAGACAGCCCTGAGTTCCAAACCCAGCTCAGCCAATGACTCTGGGCAAGATGATCCTGCTCTTCCAGACTCAGTTTTCTCACCTATAAAATGGAGCTGATGGCACCTACCCCCCGGGGCTGCAGAGAGAGTTAAATAGAGAAACAAATATAGCTTGCAGCCCAGTACCTGGCACAGAGTCAGAGCTCTGTAACAGAAGGGCATGGAGGTTGCAAGGTATAGACAGGCTGCGCCTGGAGAAAGCTTCTGAGCATTTGGGGGTGAATTTCTGCTTAAATTACCCCCCACCCTGGACCCCAGTATCATAATAGAGGTCTGTTGTGCAACAGGTTCTTCAGAGGAAAACAGGATGAGAAACCTGAGGAGATTCTTTGAGGAATGAGGTCCCTGAGCCACCCACAGAGGGGACAGGGGGAAGGCAGACAAAAAAAAAGCTGCCTTCACCAATGGACAAGGCAACCTCTCTGGAGTATGAGACCTCCCATGTTTGCTCTTTGAGCCATGAGCAGGAAACCCCATAACATCAAGGCTGTGAAGGGGAACCATCTCCGTGAACATGGGCGTTTAGGGTTGCAAATCCCCGGCGAAGCATTTCAGATTAGGGAGTCTGAATTGAAAGATGGGAGACATGAGCCTCTCTTGCCCTATTCTCATCTCTGAGCTGTTGACATTTCCTTGTTTGAGCTTTCCAATCTAGCTGAACGCATATTTCATCATTGTCACCTCAGTGTGTGCGTGTGTGTGTGTGTGTGTGTGCGCGCGTGTGTGTGTGTGTGAAGGGAAGGAGGGAAGACTGAAGGGAGAATTCACAGAGGTCAAGAGTATGGGCTCTAGAGTCTGGCTGCCTGAGTGCTGACGACTCAGTCATTTCGTCACTGTGTGACTTTGGGCAAGTGGCTTGCTCTCTCTGAGCCTCCATGTCCCCATGGATAAAATAGAATAGCCGTTCCATATGTCACTGAGTTGCTGTGAGAACCCGATGAGATGCTGAATGTGAGCTTCGGGCACCAAACTTGGCACATGCCAAAGGCTGAATATGTGTATGCTACTACTATTAATATGTGTGTGTTATTTCCCCTGGATTTCTCAGTAGGCTTTCCCTATTCTTGGGTGGAGGAGGGTGGAAATTCATAGTTAAGAGCTGAATAGTCATTAATCAGATAATTAACAATGCATTAAATGATATTTAATAAGCATACTTCATGGACCTGGCATATGCTAGATATACTGCAAATGGATTTTTGTGTATTCTGACAAACATCCTGCATGGTACATATGTTTTATTTTAAATTTTTTTTGTTAAAGTAGAACATACATGAGAAAAATGCACCTAAGCAAATAGCTCAATGAATTTTCACAAACCGAACAAACCCCATAACTAGCACCTAGATCCAGAAAAGAGAACGTTGCCCCCCTCAAACCCCTCCTAGTCACTAACCTGCTCCTGAGGGGTAACCAGTATCTAGACCTCTAACAGCATAGATTAGTTTTGCTGTTTTGAGCTTCATATAAATGGGATATGCAACACAAGCTCTTTTGTGTCGGGCTTTATTAGGTATGTGAGATTCATCTATGTGGTCATGTGCGCTTGTAGGTCATTTTCACTCCTGTAGAGCATTCCACTGGTGACTGTCTCACAAGTTCTATTTATCCATTATTTTGATGGGTGTTTAGGAAGTTTTCAGTTTGGGGCCATTCTGACCACTGCTGCTATGAGCAGTCCTGTACACATCTTGTGGTGCCCACGTGCATGTATTTCTGTTGCGCATATACCTGGGAGTGGAATTGTTATGTCATAGGGCAGGCATATACCGTTGTGTTTTAGGAGACGCTGTTACCCAGTTTTACAAAGTGGTGGCACAACTTCCCTCCCACCGGCAGTGTGAAGGCTCTTATTGCTCCACATCCTGTAAACCTTCGATTCTCACTTTGCAGCTGAGGAAGATCAAGAGGTAAAGTGCCTTCTTCCAGACATAGTTAGTGGGTCATAAGACCAAGATTCATCCACTCACTAAACCTTAGATGTTGGCTGAGCTCGTACTCTGTGCCACTGCAGGCTTGGGGATCATTGGTCACCCTGATGCATATGGTCTATATCCTCATGGAACTTCTTGTTGGGCTGCATCAAGTCTGAGTTCAGATATGTTTGACACCAATGTTTGTGCTTTTCCACTCTGTCACCCTTTCTCTACACTCCCTTGGAGCTCAGAAAAGTGCTGGGCACATAGTAAGTGCTCAATAAATATAGGTTAAATGAATGAAGGAATGGGGGATCTCAATGGGACCCCCCATCCTGGATTGATGAGCACATCTATGGATGGGCTTCTGGCTGCAAAATATAGGAAAAGAGTGTTTTCTCTGGTATTTCTGGGCTGATGAGCAAATCCAAGTATCTTTAGTCTCAGGATGGGCCTTTATTAGGCATGACTTCAGGAACCCAAATTCAGGGCTCAGGCAGAGGAACCTCTGCACCCTTCAGAGCTAGAATTATTATAGGAGTAGAACAGGACATCCACGGGGCCTGTGGTCAAAGTTTTCAGGGCAGTGGAAGCCACAGTCTGAGGGATACTTAAGGTCCTAAGATTTCTAAGATGTGGAATCTCCTTCTGATCATCAGTAGGCAGCGGGAGGACACTTGTGCCTGGTGTGGGGATTGTTGGCTAGACTCACAGTTGGTTGAGTTCATGAGCATCAGCCTGTAAGGAGAAGAGGCAGCATCAGTCACCGGTGTGGTTACCCCTTCAACTCCCAGGTCCACAGTGAAGGGTCTCTTACCTATCCATGCTGACCAAGAGCCTGTGCCCGGAGCATTACAACTCTTTTCAAATGATATCTAATTGTTTGTTTCTTGTCTTCCCTTCACTAGACTGTGAGTTCCATGAAGGTGGGGACTGTATCTGTTTATTTGTAACTGGAGTGAGGTGGTCTCATGTTTGAGATAGAGCCAGTGCTCCCTAAAGGACTGAGTGGAGATCTTGGGAGAAGGTACAATCTCTGGTAATCTGGAGGTTCGGGTGACTTGGCAGGGCCCAGCCTACTTGTAGGTGTATTCTCTGCTGTCTCAGCTTTCTTGGGGCACAATAAATGGTCATTATAATGTGGTCATTTCTAAGTATTCTCAGACCATGTGCAGATACCCCTCAGCAGGGGGCACTTCTTCTAGCCATTTGCCTATCCTGAGTCCTCCTCCCTGGAAGGATGTAGACACTTACCTATGAGGCTTTTCAACAGTTTCACATCCAGCTGCTTGAGAATTTCACTGATCAGAGGACATACCTGGACCGCCATAACAGAGAGAAGAGTCAGATCGGGGACTGGTAAAAGGAAACTAGTATCTGGAAGCTTAGACTCCATTGGATTTCCACATGGATTCATGGCAAAAGTGGCACTTCCATGTTTTATGTCCCTGAATCTTCATGACATCTCCATGAAATAGGAACTGTGATGGTTCCCATGATACAGATGGAAAAACCGAGGCTCAGAGAGTCTAAGTCACTTGCCTAAGGACACATAGCTAGTAGATGGCAAAACTGAAAATTTTAATTGAGATCTTTCAGGATCTAAAGCCCAAGGTTTTAAACTCTGCTAAACTGCCAATGTATACACCCTGACCCTCAGACCGAAGAATGCTCGAGGTGAAAATATTTTTCTCAAACTTACCTGACTTTCTACCAGGTTTGGGATAACTTTTCCCAGGTTATCTCTAAAATTGTAAAGAAAACGTTTCATCTTTGGTGGGATATCTCTAGAAAGAGAAGTGAATAAACAGAATGGAACAGATAAATACAGGCAATGTCATGCTAGGTGCTATGTGTTGAGTACAACTTATATGGTCACTTAATCCTCAGCAAGCCCTATACAAGAAGCATCATTGTCAGCAATAGTACCTCAGTGTGTGCGTGTGTGTGATGTGACTTGTTCAAAGAGGTGATGTGACTTGCCCAAGGTCACACAGCTACTAAGTGTTGATTAGATTAGAACCAGGTTTGTAGAGCTCCAGAGTCTACAGTGTTTCCCTTGTATTGTCCTCTCCATGAATGTCTGGTGTGATTTAGGCTCTCAGTGAACATACGATGAATAAATGAATGGACATCCACTGAGGACTTAGTTGCTTTCAGCATTCTGGAATTATAGAGAGAAATCAGATAAATCTTGCCCCTGAGGAATTTAGTCTGTTGAAGTTGACAGACTCAGTTAGCCAGAGTCTAGATATTATTGTCTGTCTTGTTCACTACTGTATCCCTAGCGTGAAGCATGCCATGCCTAGAACATAGTAGGTTCTCAGTAAATATTTATTGAATGAATAAGTAATGAAGAGGAGCTTTAAAGAAAGGAAGGGTGTTCTAGGCACAAGGATCTGCATTTGCAAAAGCATGGTGGTGTGAAAATGCATGGTGTGTTGATGGACGGGTGGGTCCTTCAGAGAGACTTACAGGGCAAAGAGCTGCAGAGTGGGGCAGGGGAGAGGATAAGTAGGGCCTTGAGTAACATCTAAGAGTTTGCTCTTCATTTAGAGGGCATTGGAGAACCATCGGAAGATTCGGAGCAGGGGCTGGGGGATTCCCGTGCGGGAAAGCTACTTCTGCTGAAGGAGGAGAATGGAGAGAAGGAGGTGAGGTCTAGTAAGGGAAGCCAGATGAAGCTCCCACAATGGTCCAGGAAGTGAACCATGAGCCGGGACAGTGGCTGTGGCGATGCAGAGAAGGGAGCAAGCAGAGGCTTCCAGAAGTCACTGATGGGAGCCAGTGAAAATGGGCTGCAGGGAGTGAGAAGGAGGAAATGTCTGGTTTCCGGGAGGATGTCAGGGCAATCACTGAGAGGGGGTGCAGGAGGCGGAGCAGATCCTGAGGAAAGGATGAGATCTATTTTGGGCTCATCTAGGAGGTGGTGGAGATGTGTGGCCACAGCTAGGGTGGGTCAGGAAGGGGCCCAGCCCTGGGGAGGGACAGCTGGAACCTTACTCATTTAGGTCTTTTGTGCGAATGCTGCTGCGCTCCACATGGCAACTGCCTATCATCAGATCTCTCCGGCCGAACTGGTCTTTCTCCAGCCAGAACTCCACAGTGATGTTCATACGTGTATGTGTCTTTGAGATCTTGTTATTGAAGGACCTCCTGGGGATGAGAGAGTGAGGAGGAGGAGGGAAAAGGGAATAGAGAAAGAAGAGGAGGTGGAAACAGGCAACACAGAGTGGCTCTCTGTGTGGACGGCAATGTCCACACTCCGGGTTCCTTCAACGAACCAGCCCAGTGGGACTCCATGTTGCCTGCATGTTAAATCCTGCAGTCAGTGATTAAAGAGAAAACTATTAGCCAGAGTGGCTTCTGAAAATCCTTTAAATAGACCAGATTAAGGGCCTTTGGAAATTCAAGTTGAGAGTTCATCGTATTTTTAATATTTTTACTGTTTAGCTGTGGCCCCCTTTCCTTGGGGACAGGGGATGTTAAAGAATAGTTTGAACAGGAGAAGGGAAAGGTGATGAGATACAGTGTTTCTCTTTTTTAAATTAGTGTCGTTAACTCACATAGGTTTAAATGAACAAGTGACCTGCCTCCACTAACCAATGATTGCCATCCACATTTCAGCTTAAGGAACCAAGGCTCAGAGATGTGATGTGACTTGCCCAAGGTCACACAGCAAGTGAATTAGAAAATGAGGATTTAAAATCAGGCTGGGATCAGAAAAATCTGGGTTCTTTGGGTTGCCAGATTCTGCCCCAGCTCCTAGGTTCCCAGTGAGGAGGAAGAGGCCCTCTCAGACCCTGCTTCTGCAGAACTCACAGTCTCATGTCAATGTCGAATTCAAGTGAGATGGTTGCCGAGAACCATTCCTTATGGAAAGACGTCTGGATCCCGCTACAGACCAACTGAATGTTGGTGATGTTGATGCTACACA